AGGGTCTTTCAGGATCAGGACTGTCTGGACTTCAGTTAACCATGCAGGGTGGGTTCCATCCATTAGTAGCTGGTTCATTTGTCCCGCCATATGTATATGTATATACTGTAAGCGCATTGTATGATAATATTTGTTCTAAAACTCCATTTCTCTCTGTTCCTTCTAATGCTTGGTTTCAGGAAATCCTGATGTCCCCAAAATACCCCAAAGAGAAACTCGTCAGCAAAAGACTCTTCAGCTTGTTTGGTGAAAGGTAAATTAACCAACAACCGACTGTAGGATTAGCTACTGGTACAAAGTGCAGGACCACGTCATCAAACTGGTAATTTGTGATAGTATCAATATGTTGAATTCTTAAACTAACAATACAGAGTAAAACCTGCCTTAAACTGTGGTGTCAACTCAAGTAATTTTGTCATTTTAGTACTGTCAAGTCAACTTTTGAGCGCCAGGCAATGGATTTACTGGTTCACTTTACATATTTGTTATGTTAGACCTTACTTGACAGTTTGAAAGGATTGTGTTCCATGTCTCTCTCTAAGGTTCCTAGGTAATGGCTTGTTAGGGGCACACAACCGCGAGAAGTGGTATAAACAGCGCCGGATCATGGACCCTGCCTTCAGCAGCTTGTGAGTTATTTACTTTCCAAAAAGAGGCAAAGTGAAGTTGCTCAGCCTCTTTTTATCTATAGAGTTTACAGTTATTGTCAGTCCTGTTCAGATTGTTCATACTTTTTCATCAGTTTCTTATTTACAGATTTCCTGTGGAGCTGTGCAGGTATGTCCACACCATGCTACTCCACTGTTTCAAACTATCATTATTTCCAGGTATTTGAGAGGTCTAATGGGCACCTTCAATGAGAGGGCAGAGAATCTGATGAGTAAACTTGCCGATATTGCTAACAGCAAAACAGAGACCAGCATGCTCCACCTACTCAACTGTGTTACCCTTGATGTCATTGCTAAGGTACTGTGCCACTGTTTTCCAGCTTCCTCTGCAGTTGGTTTTTACTGAATATAGAGAGAGCAGAGACTTAACACAAAAGTTCATTTAATCAGGTTGAAACTATCTTGGTACATATGAATGTATGTTGCTTACTCAATAATTCTCAGGTTGCTTTTGGTGTGGACTTAGACCTGCTGAAGACTAGTACACCTTTCCCTAAAGCCATCGAGACATGTCTAAAAGGGATGCTGTACAATATCCGAGACAGCTTTTTTCAGGTATGACTTGACAGCAACAGTGTATGGAGTTAATATTGTGAACATTCTACAAACTGTCTAACATCTTAAAAACTTTCATTCCCAGTTCAATCCAAAGAACAGACCATTCATTAAAGAAGTGAGGGAAGCGTGCCGCCTGCTGCGCACAACTGGGGCTCAGTGGATCCATGAAAGAAAGACTGCCATGGAAAATGGCGATGACGTTCCTAAGGACATCCTCACACAAATTATCAAATCTGCTGGCCAAGGTTACCGTCCCTAAAGTCCAACAAACAGTAATTTTTGCTATGGATAAAACAGGGTAGAAGTACACGATGTTGAGCATAATTGACAAAAATTTAAGGTCCATATAAGAAAAATATAAAGCACAATTATTTCAATATTAACTCAACATAATAATAGATTTTCAGAGCACAATTGCAAGTTTGTCCTACTAACTGTTTCCAGACAGTACACTCCAGAGAGATGAGATAATGTTCATACATAGCTGTGCAGTTGTTAATGTCTTCAATTTGCAGATCTTGCTGACAAGTAATCTTCCATATATTAGTTTATATGTTAATACCATTTTCTTCTCATTCCAGAGAACAGCATGACTAAAGAAGATGAGGAGATCATGTTGGACAACTTTGTGACATTCTTCATTGCTGGCAAGTCTCTGTTATGTCTGTGGTGATGTGTGAAATGCTTCAAAATAAACATGTTACTCTACTTCCTTTGTAGCAGAAAGTCATACTAACAAAGTAAAAGGAACATTTCACCCAAAAGTTCAGTAATGTGTAGGCTATCCATCAGTTTTACTGTGAATTCTGGACATGTGCAGCTCGCTACCTTGTGGGTGATTTTAATGTCTTTCAAGAGTGATGACAGTTTTTCACAATAATGTATACACTATAATGTTAACTGTTTTTCCATTTGGACATAAACTATGTTTTCTTACAATTTCCAGGTCTTTTCTTTAGCTTAGACAGAATTTTGCTCTATTTGAAATCAATGTCATGATTAATTTCAGCATTTATAACATTTAAGGACAAGAGACAACAGCTAATCAACTGGCTTTTTGCATCATGGAACTTGCAAGACATCCTACTATACTTGAGAAGTAAGAACTTAAAATGCAGCAAAAAGAAAACTTTCACAATAAATCTGTTGAGATGTTTTTTTAAATTGTGGGGTTTTTGTCAGAGCAAGGCAAGAGGTGGATGATGTCATTGGGATGAAACGAGACATAAGCTATGACGACCTGGGTCAGCTGATCTATCTCTCACAGGTACAAGTCTTGACACTGGGGAAAATATGGTTCAGCTTTTCAGGAGTATCATTCACTCATGTATACATTCATTCATTTATTTACCTCCCTCCAGGTGCTAAAAGAGACTCTGAGGATTTACCCGACGGTTCCAGGTGTAACTCGTGAGCTTCCTGAAGACATGGTCATCAGTGGTATCCACATACCTGGAGGATGTGTTTGTGCTGTGAGTCATTCACTTTTGAATGTGTTTGTATTTTAGAATCCAAAAGGGTTTCATACACTATTGTGCTTGTTTTACATACATAATGGACAATCGGCACTTCCCACTTAAAAATACATGACAAAACAACACTTTTTACAAATATACTTAGCTGTCAAAATGTGCAATACATTTCTCAGTTCAGCTCCTATGCGACTGGCAGAATGGAGAAATTCTTCAAGGACCCACTGACATTTGATCCTGACAGATTTCACCCAGATGCTCCGAAGTAAGTCTTGCCATGTTAGAGCATTGCCACAGAGGACACAAGGAAATGGACTATATTAACTGAAGTTGTCGCTTATCTGTTTTGCAAGGCCTTATTACTGCTACTACCCCTTTTCCCTGGGTCCACGCTCCTGTCTGGGACAGAACTTTGCTCAGGTGCGTGGTGATAAAAGTGCCTGTAAATAATCAAACCATTCGCATAGGCACACACAGTAACAACATACTGAATTAGTCTAATGGTTGATGGTGTGTTGTCAGATGGAAGCTAAGGTGGTGATGGCCAAGCTGCTCCAAAGGTTTGACTTCACTCTTGTCCCAGGACAGACATTTGACATCCTGGACACTGGCACACTCAGGCCAAAGAGTGGAGTGGTGTGCACTGTCAGTCACAGGAATGATAAGAAATAGATGGTCATACAGTACCATAACATAAGAACAAACCATAACTGTCTGTGTGGTGAAATTGGGTTGTTGAGTTGCTGAAACCAGCTAACCAGCTTACAGCTACAAGTGCATGATTAGTTTTATTTTTTTATAATATTTCTTCAATCTATGTAAAGAAAATAATATCACATTAAATTCAATACCCAATATATTCAGTTGACATGCTGATTATGGTAATGATGATTATTTACTTGTTGGCCAAGTTACAGTATCATTAGCTCTTTAATTTTGCTGAAATGAACCATTTAATTCTGTGTAATTGCTCTTTTAATACCACTGAGGCAGTGAACCTTTTATGCCTTTAAGGCTAATGATTTTTACTGATGCAAAAGTAATTTGTATTCTTTGTTACTTTAATATACTGATGATGAATTACTATCTGATTTCACTCAGACTTTTGCGTACTTTTGGCAATTACTGACAGCGTACACAGGAGGGCGCTGTTACCTTGCAAAGAAATCTCTGAAGTACCTGTTAAACTATCATCACAGTCATGTCAGAGTAATTTGGGGAGTTTGTTATCATTTTTGCAATACAAGATTGATAAGATGTAGTGGAAGCTGATATTAGTTTATTGGGGGTTATTTTCCATTTTGAGAAATTAGGAAAATTATGGCTACAAATGTTTCAAGATGGAGATATCCATATACTGGGGGTTATTTTTTAGATGGTGAAATTTTACTGGCTTGTAAACAGTTCAACCTAATGAATGTATAGTAAAATATCCCTCTTTAAGTTGTTTAATGTGTACTTTAAAGTAATAAAATATTTTAAAACATTCTTACTTTCAGTCTAATGCTCTTTATTTTATTTTTAAAGAATTTTGTCCCAGTCCTGAGCTTCTGTTCCTTTAAGAGGGTTGAGCTTGAGTGTTGTGAGTAGTGGTGTGCGATACCGCAAAATTTGGTATCGATCCGATACAAAGTAAATACTGGGCCAGTACTGTCGATACCGATACGTTTTTTACTTAGAAAAGCTTTTGTGTAGGGCAGAGCAATGCTTCATAATTTATGATGTGAATGCGATATGCAAATTTGAATGAAAATTGAAAATTTGAATTTTCATGATTGAATGATTTTGTGATTTCTGAATTTCAATTGGTTGATTGTGATTATGATCATAAAACATCGGACAAAGATTTTAGGCAAATAAAAAATACCTTTTATTAAGTAAGTTGAAATGTTTTAAATTAAAATTTCAGAAACAATATAACATAAATATAACAAAATAACTATCAACAATATAACAATGTAACAAAAATTTGCTTGCATTACACACAATTGTTTGCAATATTGACATTATTTTTCAAATTAAAAAGTACAAATACAGTCAGGGAAAAAATTTATTTGAACCTCAGCTGATTTTGTAAGTTTGCCCACTAACAAAGAAATGATCAGTCTACAATTTCAATGGTAGGTTTATGTGAACAGTGAGAGACACAACAGTAACAAAAAAAATCCAGAAAAATGCATTACAAAAAAAGTTATAAAGTAATTTGCAATTTCATGAATGAAATAAGTATTTGATCCCCTATCAGTCAGCAAGATCTCTTGTTGACCAAACAAATACTTATTTCATTCATGAAATTGCAAATTACTTTATAACTTTTTTTGTAATGCATTTTTCTGGATTTTTTTTTGTTACTGTTGTGTCTCTCACTGTTCAAATAAACCTACCATTGAAATTGTAGACTGATCATTTCTTTGTTAGTGGGCCAACTTACAAAATCAGCTGGGGTTCAAATAATTTTTCCCATAAATACAACATAAAGTACATTTTACCGTTTGCGCCTCTAGAACCATGTGCAGAATAACACCTTTGGGGCTGTATGTCTATTCTCTATGTCCATGTTGACTCTGTCCCATAATGCCACATTGGTGCCCCTCACTCAACTCCAGTCACATGGTTGACACATACGCCCTTCAAAATAAACCTCTTTAACAAGAATAGTGCTCTTTTAACCAAACCTGGTTTTAAAGCAATACATTTCTTAGATCCTTTCGTCTCTGTTAACACTTAACATCTTATTTATGACATTTTAACCAATTCCTCAATGGTAGTAATAACTCATTATTAATAACCAACATAAACTCACATCTTAAATGAAACCGGTCATTTGGACAGTTAGTGACTACAGCCTGAACTTTGGCAGTTATGCCCCATTCATCAGTGATTCTTTTTAATTCTGAGCAAATGTCAGCACCGTGTTTTTCTGAAAAACTACAGGTTTCCTGGCTTGCATTTGCCAGTTCTCTTCAATGATATGGCATGAGACAGTTAAATAAGCCTCTGTGGCTCTTGATGTCCACATATCCATTGTGAGTACAGCACTGTTTGCCGCATCCAGAGACTTTTTTACTTTTGAGCAACACTCTTCATACAGTGCTGGTATTTTCCCTTCCATTAACTGTTTCCTACTTGGAAGCTTGTACTGATGATCAAGAGTCTTAACAAAGTTTATAAAACCTTCATCATCAACCACAGAGAGAGGCTGTAGGTCCTTCACAATCATCTCTGCAAGGCTCCTTGTGTTAGCCAAGGCTCTTGGGGAATCACCTAGGTGAAATAATAAAAAATAATTAACTCTATAACCCATCGGCATGTAGCCTAGATATAGGAGTGCTAATGATCTTTATACAGTTAACACAAAAGGGTTATTATATTCAGCCATATTCATAGTTCATGTCTGAGGTAAGTCTTTATATGGGTATATAATATTTTTCAGTCCCAGTAAAATCTAGATTTATTTCAGCTAGCTGTATATATTCTATGACTGTCTGAATAGTCTATTACGGTAGCAGATTTGTTGTCCACAGACATGGCAGTTTGCAGTGTTTTTGTCTGCAGCTGTAAAATAGCTCCAAACAGCGCTCCTCTTTTTCTCTGCCATCATGCAGCCAGCAGAACGTCATTGAGTTAACTGAAAACAACTCACATCAGGAGAGGGGGAAGGGCAAAGGGAGAGGAGCGTAGTGATGGGTATTTGAAGTGATGAACCGGTATTGATTGATGTAAAGTTTAGATCGATCTGCCCACCACTACTTGTGAGGCTTCACAGGACTCATCATCTACCTGCTGCCCATGGAGTCCGCGCTGAAACTCAGAGTGTTATAAATGAATATTCAGTGTACTGCCGTGTCAAATGCTTGACGGAAGTTTTTACGTAGTTGCTGTACCGGAGCACTTAACGAGCGTCTCTCCACTAGTGGTGGGCGATACTGCAAGTTTGGGTGTCGATCCGATACCAAGTAAATACTGGACCAGTATCGCCGATATCGATATCAATACCGGTACTTTTTGACAATTAATGCATTACCAAATATAAATACATTTTCATGACTTTCAGGTGTTTTGTGTTTTGTTTTAAATTGTATTATTAATATAATAAAACCCAGACAAAGTTCAACAGTAAATAGAAAGAACTTTATTAACATAAAACAAGTTTTTGTTCAATAGCAAAAGAACAGACTTTTTGTCTTCCACAAAGTGCACAAAATTATCTTTCGAAAATATTAAAACTTCTTTCGTAGAATACTCCTAAATAAACAAAGTCGACAAAACAATCACTCCAAAACAAATCTTATAAAACAAAGAACAAATTCTCTTTTTTCAAGTATAATACAAAAATAAAATAAAACAAAATGTCTTCCCTACATTGCACATATTTTCTGGCTTTGAAAAGGTAATTTAAACAAACAGTTGGTAAAAAATAAACAATAAATAATAATACTACAATAAATTAAGTATAAAAATACACAACTCCTAAAGCCTTTAGCCTAAAGAAATAGTCTAAGAAGAAAGAAACAGTATCATATTCACATTTTTTGTAACCACACTCAGGTGTTTTTTGGCAAGTCTGCTGAGAGAGGAGAATGTAGGTGCATTGTTTTCCACCAAAGTAGTGGATCCTGGTCCCGAGGAATTAGCTTCTCTTCTGTGTATCTGCGCATTTCAATTAGTACATCAGTAGCAGTTGTCCATTGTTGCTGAGATGCAAGGACTTGAGAATCAAAATCTGTCCATATCCCACCTTTTGCTTCAGGTGGGCATGCAGCAGCCCCTGTAGATGAGCCTGAGGTATTTGCATGAGCTGGTGCAGAACTGGAGCTCAATCTAGATGTTGAAGGTGCTGAAGTCTGACTCATTTCAGTGACAAGTCGAGCTTTTACAGGCTCAACATTTGAAGAGTCACGAAATGCCAGATTTTTAAATCTAATATC